CTAGTTCTGGCACTACCTCATGGAGATTGGAGCGCTGAAGATTGTGCGAATGTTGGAGAGCTTCTGATGGATATCTCAATTAATTTAGTTAAAAGGTAGAAATTGTTTTCTTTTGCTCTGAATTTGACAATCTCAATAGCAGCTAAATATTTTTGTAGATATGGTCTATTATAACAAATTCAGAAAGATTTACCACTGATTGATAGAAGTAAAACTTTAATTTTCTAGTGTAGAAAATCGGGCGGAAGAATATAGAAGATTGAATGAAATTTGAACATTGAAGATCCCGGTAGATTAACTCTCAGTACTATTCAAGCCTGATACTGACCTGAAAAGGAGTGAATTCCATAGCATTTCACTAATTTATAAGCACTTTAAGGATGATATGTTGATGTAAATTATACTTATATGATATATAGGTACTTAGATTTAATCTTTTGATAGTATACCAGGATATATGTATGTATATTTATTATGATTTTATTTTTAAGATTATTTTTAGTGCTTTTTTGAATTTGAATTTAAAACGACTGAGTTTTCAGTAGTAATAACCCAAGGATATTGATAATTGTTCAAAAAAAAAAAAAAATGTATAATAGATTTTGAAAGCTTGTTGCTTGGACAGACTGACGCCGGAGGCAGAGGTCTATAACCAATAACAATCTTGAGAAATTTATTTGAAAAATGTTGGGCATTTATCAATGCTCAAGGGTTATTCGGGTAGATTTAAATAATTTTCCTTTGCTTCATTCATTGAAATTTTGTTAGCTATTGTTAGTTATAAGGTCTGTTTCTGCAGAAATCACAAACCAGTCAGAGCGAATTTTGATTGGTTGAAAACAGTCAGAAAACTAGTTTCAACCAATGAAATTCACTCTGACTGGTTTGTGATTTCTTCAGAAACAGACCTATAGTTATTCGTACCTGCACGTACACTATTGTAAGTTATATATAATAGGGTTGTGAATAATTGAATTTGTCAAGTTTATCTATCATTCAAATCCATTTTCAAAAATTTTTACCATCATTTACATTTTTCACAAAAAAAAACCTATAAAGTTATTATAAAAAATGTATACTTTTTTATCAATGGCGAAATACATGAAAAACCACATCGTGACATAAACACACTGCAAGGTAGGTATAATAAAATAATAATTTTGTTTAATTTTTTATTTATTTTATATTAATTTTTTATTTATTTTATATTCATTTTAATTTCTAGTCATCTTGATCAGTCATTATTTATGTTTGTCCTCTATTTTCTTATACCTATAACTGATTTAATGTTTTACTGTTAATAATTTATATGTATTTTTATCCTGTTATTACGCCAAGTATTACTGGCCTATGTTTATTTAGTTGTAAGGTACTTAATGTTTCTTGTTGTTTTTTTTTTTTTTTTTTTTTTTTTTTTTTTTTTTTTTTTTTTTTTTTTTTTTTTTTTTTTTCTTTTGAAACTTTTAATGGGTCTTGCCCGTAAATAAATAAATAAATAAATAAATAAATGTTATAGCCCTGAAGAACGAGCAAAAAAATCCGAAAGCTTGGCTTTTGTAAAAAGAGATAATTAAAAACTATTAATTGACCGATTTCCAGTTATTCACAACCCTACTATTGTAAGTGTTATGGTTGTATGTGTGATGATGATAGTAGTAAGTTTACATATACCCAGATTTACGTAGCCCATGAATTCGATATTTGCCAGTCTGCAGGTGGATTAGTATGATTAAAATGTATTCCACCTGCAAGCATGGGCTATGTAAATCACCCTGTATACAGTGATAATTCCATAATGTTTAGTTAGTCTGATGAAGCTAGAGTATAGCAAAACATGTAACTGTTGTCAATAAATTTAATGAAAACTAAGTTAAAATTATTCATATTTATTACTTTCCCCAACCGTGGAATTTGAATTCAATTTTCAGCAAATCTCTAATACAAGTTCAGTACCAAAAAATAAATCTATCAATACAAACGGTATCAGGTATTTTGAGTAGGATGAGAAAGATAATATTCGAAAATAATTTCAGTATTAATTGTCTACTGAGATTTTTGGTGAGTGCTAACATCTTGGTGTAGTTTCCACCCATTCGGAAAAATGTTCTGTTCTGTAGAATAATAAAACAATATAGTTTGCAAGGAACTCGGAGCTGCGGCCATTCCATGTCAATTCGGAAGAACACTTTTTAGTGTAGAGTCTATTTGATTTTGCGTGGTCTAAAGACAAATTCTGGCGTCGGCAAATCGACATCATAGAGATCCCAGGAGTTCCTGGTATTTAAATCAAATGGAATATCCTGTAGTTAAGGAGTTTTGCGTTGCAATATAGCAATGTAGTCCTCACTCACTAGAGGTGGAGAAGCAGAATAGGTGATTTTTTTCCATCGATTTTGGAAGGCCCCAGAGTCAGTTTGAGATACTTAAAACTGGATAACGTCTTTCCAGGTGTTCCTAGCAATGACAAGTTTTGCAGAAATGCTCAATTTAGGTCGTTTGAATGGAGAAGGAATTTACGATTCCATATTCCTTTGAGTCTAATAATTTCAGTCGCGCATCCAATGAGGATTTCGATTGAGGAAGAGTCGTCAGACCTATAGCCGTAGTTTCTGATCAGTTTCTCAGAAAAGTTGTAAGGTAGATTTTGCACAGATCCAATGGCCCAGAGCAAATAATATTCCCAGAGACAAGATCAGTAAACACAAGTCGACGAATCAGCTTGATGCGTAGGTTTCTCTATCAAGTGAATCAGGTCGCAAAAGCCTTTGGTCTTATTAAATTTCAGTAAAGCTTCTGACCTTATTAATCGTTATTTACTTTTCGCTAAGCAGACGATTTATTGCTTCACTGGACAAACTATTCAATAGTTGCCTGTGATCACAATTCAAAATTGTTGAGGGAGGTGGAATAGGTTTTGCTTTGAGCTGGGAGCAACACATTACAAGCCTTCAATGCACACTGAATAGCGCATGCGCCTTGATACGCAGACTTCGAGACAGCATGTCTTTTCTACTTTGCTTATGTGCAGTCTCAGATAAATTATGGAATCGCTATTTGGGGGGCCTCCAGATTCTCTGATGAGATTTTTAAAACTCAAAAGAGAATAATTAGATGTATGCTACATTTTCATCCCCGACCTTCTTGCAGGCCTTTCTTTGAGGGCTTGAATATACTTATTGTGCCTGGAATATATTTTGTCGCACTGGTAACTTTTGTCAAAAAAAATCAACACCTTTTTGCAACCAATCAAGATGGCTATGCCAATAATATTGGTATACTTACCAGAGGTAGGGATGAACTCCGCATTCCCACACATCGATCCACATTTTTTGAAAGAGGCCCTTATTATCGGGGTATCAAAGCCTACAGACTCCTACCTGCTGATATCAGGAATATGGGGGAAATTGGGAGATTCAAAACGGCGGTCTCACAGTTTGCGAGGGATAAATGTTTTTATTCTTTTAATTTTTAGACTGTTGTATCTTTGATTTTTCACCAATTTATGTATATTATAATTAAGTTTTTTACTAGTTTGTATCTTTATGTAAAGTTTTGTTTTTCTACTTTTTAAATTTTAACTTGTGATGTTAGTATAATCAACGGTATAATTGACGTCCTATTTTTGTATGTGTGCTTGGATGCTTTTGCAAGTAACTTTTATTTAGGAAAATGTCAAGTCGTTTCCGGAAAAACTCAAATCAATTTCAGAAAAAGTAATGGTAATTTCGGAAAAAGTAAAGTTAATTTCGGAAAAAGGAAATTCAAATTCGGAAAATGTAAATTCATTCATAGCTTACTTTTGCTGAATTTGAATTTACTTTTTCCGAAATTAATTTTACTTTTTCTGAAATTAATTTGACTTTTTCCGGAAATGACTTGACATTTTCCTAAATAAAAGTTACTTTTTCCGAAATTGATGTTGAAATGGTGTAGATGACTTAAATCTTATGTACTGATTTAAGTCTTTTAAATAATGACTTAAGTTTTTTCTTTTTCAGAAAAAAACATTTAAGTCACAAATCATTTTGAATATGACTTAAATGTTGAGTCTTAAGTCAGCTTACAAGAAATGACTTAAAATCAAATGACTTAAGTCAATAAAATGATTTAAATCAAAAAAAAAGATTTAAGTTTTCTGAGAGCTTGCAGCTCTGCAGTGTCATGTCAGGTATGCAATTTAACGGATAAAAACGCAATCTGTAATCCCATTGGTCGGCTAGTTATCTGCCGACTAATAAAATTATAGAACGATGAATTTATCTTGCAGATAGTTACAAGCAAGTTTATCACCTTTGCATCAAAGTATAGTTTCTACCTGGTTTCCTCTCTTCTTTTTTCTAGGCAAGTTATATTTATTGCCTTTAAAGATCAAATTATTTATAGTTTTTTTTTTTAGTTTAAACGGTTTCAGATCAGTCGCGGCTCGTGACAATCCAAACTGGTGAGGCCCATCTCAGGGAAGCCCACCGCGAAAATCCCTGAGCTAACCCAAACAAACCTAAACAAAATTTTTGAGTGCCAAGCCCAAATTTTGACCCAAATAATATTCATTAAAAAAACACACTTTGAGGTCGTTGAGGGAAGGAAGTTTCTAGCATCCAGCAACACAACAATATCAATTATTATTAACAGTATTTTAACCCGCTACAGACAAAAACAAAAGGTACGCGCCAATTAAATTACGCACTGGCATTTGCTACTTGTCGCAACAGCAAGAGATGCAAGGTTTTTTCTTTAGCAACCCCAAAATTGTGCGCCTCAATGCCTACAAAAATTCGCTATCGTCTCGCCTACAGTTGAAGGGTTGTGGTGGGGAGTGGCAATATTTTTTCAAAATTTTACATCATTATTGTAATTTTTACATGTGAGGCCCGGCCTCAGTTGCTTTATACGACGAGACGCCACTGTTTCAGATTTTAAAATTCATTATTCAATGGATTTCTATATTAATGTTAATGTTAATGTTGTTTGTTAAATTATAAATTAAAACCATTGCAGAGTAGAGTTAAGGGTTTATATTAAAGAAAACTTTTTTTTATAGACATTACGTAGGTCAAATTTATTCAGACAATTTTCACCATCTCAAATATATCCATTAAAGAGGTAATTAATATAAATCGAAAAAAGTTGCATTCATAATCATATAAGAATTGATAAAATTATTATAAAAACAAATACATATAAAATAAATGAATAAAAATTTATAATTTTATTACAGACGACATAAACACTCATTTCCAAGCAAACATAAAATACTTCTCAACTTAAGTTCTATACAATCAATTCATTAAAATGAATTAAAATCAGGGCGCCCACCTATAAAACTACCTTACATTATAATATGCCAAGGAACTGAATTAGATCTTTTAATCCCGTAGCTCAACTGCAATTCGCTAAAAGGATCAAAAGACACTTTAGTCCCTTGGTATATACTTTGTTTTTGTATTTTGAAAAACAATACATATTGCCAAAAAATAAATTTGTTTTAAATTATATGTATACCTCAAGTCGTTTTTATCCAATCATAAAAACCATTTTTCGTACAATTCGACACCATACGTTTTAGAAATTTAAAATGAATTCGAAGCTTTTTCCATTGAAATTATTTAAAAAAATGCTGAAATGACTGTATCAAAAAATACAAAAAAAAATCGTGTCGTTATAAATATTCTATATATTATCTAGGATCTAGGTATATATCTACCTACTTTACCATTCAAGTCAAGGTAACTATTGTTTCAGGATACCTATGTTTTGATATTTTTCCGCAAAACTTCAGTAAAAATAAACTTCAATGAAATATTATTTTAAAAAAATATACTGACCATGCATACTTTATTCCTAAAGTTACAAAAAATATTTGCAATTTTTGAACTGTCAATGGACAGAGTAGAAGTAAACCTTCCTATCTCAACGAGAATTAAACTACACATGTATACTACAACCTACCATTCAAAGATTCACAAAAAATTATAAGATTTTCGTGCCTTGGGCATTTCATCATGCTTAATTGCCGATTGTAAACTGGTATACTTTTGGCGATTGTTTCAATGTCCACAAATGTATTTTAAATATTGAATAGGTATACGTTAACGAATATTCGCATACTTGAATTTCAAAAATTTCGGGCCCTAAAAAAAACAGTATACGTCACTTGAAATGTCATAACTATCATACCTTATGAAATTATACACCCGCCCTTGTGAGATAAACTTTTCAGTTTTAAATTTCTTTAAAAGCAGAGAACTCGTACCACAGCAGCATACAAAAATATTTGAAAAAGTTTCAATTAGATTGAAATATTACCACTGGCCTATAAATAAACTTTTTGAGGTTTAAAATTTGATTAAAAGCAAGTCTGAAGGATTTACAGTCTGGAATTATCGAAATTGATTTGATTTGATTTGATATACAGGAGGTTCTTTCATGATATTGTTAAAAAAGTTCACTATTTTTTTCAAAATACTTAGAGCTAACTACTGCTAAAATTCTACACTGACAATCTTGAAATGCTTGGGCGCCCTGGATAAATGTTTTTATGTTTGTTTTTTTTACAAAAAATAGCGTACTTAATACGGAAGTCTAGAAACGTTGTCGTTTGTTTTGAAAATCGTCACCTCCGCCTCCGCCTCCACCACCGCGCCTGTTTTCGCTGACCCAGTGCCCTCTTGGTCCACCACGTGATTTTCGGCCTCTACCTTGTTGGTTGTCTCGTCCTTCAAAGCGGCTGGGGCGCTCAAAGAATGGTTTCTTGTCCTGATAATAATCCAAAAATATTATATTAAATATTATTACATATTTGAATTATTAGTTGTGCAGTAAACTAGCAAATATGTTTTATGCCAAAGTTGAACAAATCCAAGCTAAAAATTAAAGGGAATTTTTGGGAATAGCAAAATCCTGTTTATCGTTCAATAGAGCATAAATGGACTTTCGTGATTGAGATATCATTTTTGAGGACTAAGAAGTATACTATAAGACTTTGCCAAAGAAGGTTTCTCATCACATTCAGTACAAAGCCATCCAAAAAACTGAACACAAATGTATCTGAAGTATTGTTCCTATACACCAACCTTTGTTCTATTCTGTCGAAGCTTGATGAATTCTACGCTGAAAGTCTGCTTAAACAAGCAGCTTTTATTTTCGTAACAGAGTTCTGGCTACACAAGGACGTTCCTGATGTAGGCATAGCAAGTTATTTTTTATTTTTCGAAAAGACAGCGAAAACAGAAAAGGGGGGTGGTTAAAATTCATGTACGTGAAACCATCGCAGGTGTCAAACCCACAGTAGCATTGAACCAGAGATTCCAACCGCCTGATGGTATTGAAGCATGCGATTTTATTGGATATCACACTCAAAACACTTAAGCTTTTTTTAGCATGCATATACAGACCTCAAGACATACCTATAGAAACAAACAGAGAACTTTTGGAGTACCTTTAACAGTTGTTCGAATTCTCGACCAACACTATAGTGTTCGGAGACTTCAATTATAGACAAAAAGACTGGAAAACTCTTTCACTTAACCAACAAAATCAGCCAACACAAGAATTCCTAAATTTTTATGTAGATGCTTAACAGATAATAGATTTCAACACCAGAATTAGAATCGATCAACAATAACTTCTTGGTTGATTACTGGTAAGCGATAGGAAATTATTTACACAACCACTGGCGCCGACTACATGGGGGCATTGGGGCAGGTGCACCCATGGTAGCTCTCGTGGGGACTGTGGAAGTACAAACGTGCTTAATGGTCATTCCGTTCAGTATCATGTAATTTAAATTTACACAACTTTCTAAAAGAATTATACAAGTATGTAGTATTAGTGGTATTAGTACTCTGTCATTTGGTTATTTGTGGTCAGTTCTTCCCAATCAGCACATGTATGTCCCTGCGACTACGTATTAACCAAATACAACGTCGCCAGAAGTGCTGATAAGTGACCGCCAATGATTTTTCGTTGAAATTACGTCGTGCCGTGCCGTCGTCCTTAATATGTGGTCAGGAAATCGGAACTTTATCTAACTAGCTCAATTTTAACATAATAAATGAAAACCAGTTTTAACCTTAAATAGGTGACGTCAAACCGTCGTCCTCTTGCATACTTGTGACCTCTGAAAGGTTTTTTAAACGTCGTTCAATACGACTAATCATAAGGTAAGATAAAAAACGTAAATTGGACGTCATGATATTGTACCAAATTCAACGTTGCGTTGAAGGCATCAATCCGTCGTTATCTTTATGTCCTGTAACTTATGAAACGTTTCAAAAATGTCGTCTGACACGGCCGATCATAAAGTCAGATAGACATTTTTAGAAAAACGTCCGGCCAACGTTGAAATTGAACACAGGTAAAATTTGGTGTAGTATTTCATACCTTTTGCGTCGTTCGTTAATAAACTGTCATCAGTCAAATAAAAACATTGTTACCCGCGATTGAAAAGTAAATAAAATTTGAGGAAGTTAGACAGTGAATGGGTAACTCAAACAAAAAAAAATAGAAAGAGAGGGTTGGTCGGTGGCGCTAAAATCTAGAAACGGGACTTCGTGTGAAGGGTTGCCGACTAGCTTCCAATGCGGAGAGGGGTGTGGATCAATTAAATAATTAAAAGTAGAACGCCACCTGCTTTTCCCTGCAGTACACGGAGTCAACCGATATAACGAAAGCAGGAAACTTCTACGGACCTATAGCAGCACAACCTGAAATATAAAAGTAAACAAGAAGGAAAGGCAGAAGTGAAACGCTTTGCTACAATCAGGTACGGGTTTTTAATTAGAACCAGAACAGGTTTGACTCTAGAGTAGGTTCGGAGTGCGTTTTCCGAACGCCCTGGAACACTGAAAATTATTAACAGCAATTGAATGAGGAAAATTTTTTAACGACCGTGCGGAAAAATACTTTTCCGTACGCATTTTAGAACATGAAAGTACCAGGATGACTTAACATTGTATAATTATTTTACTTTTCCGCACTAGTTAGGAAATTTAATATTTTCACGGCCAAAAATTCATGCAGAAAAAAGTACTTTTCGTGCGTTCGTAGAATAAAAAATTCCCTCCCTCTACTAACAAATATATAAAGTTATTATCCTGCACCCATGAGGACTTTCAAAAGTCGGCGCCTCTGTACACAACCTTACCCTTCAAATCCAATTGGTCGCAGTGATCACGTTGTAGTGAACAACACACACGCACAAACACAAAACCAAGTTCAATGAAGAAAATCAGGAAGCGTCATTTTTGGAAGGCCACTTACGACAATATAAACCAAAAAATATACGAAACGAAGTTTCCAAACAACATGGACACATGAATAGCAAATATAAACACCATCATTCAACAAAGTGTTCCCATACGAAGTACTAGAATAAATCCTCAAAAACCGTGGATAAACCCTCATCCTTTCAAAGAAATTCAAAAGAAGAACCTTTAGAACAAGTACCCAAATCCCAAAACTCCCCAGTCTTACCAGGAATATATAACTCAAAATAACCTATACTGAGAAATATGCTGCAACAAGCAAAACAACAATATGAACACGGTTTGCTCACAAGTTCTGATAAACAATTCTATTCCTACATAAAAAGAACACTCAATTCAAATTCTACATCTATTGTTCTAAAAGACCAAGATACCAGATAATTGGAGATTTAAAGTAGACTTCAGAAACCTTGGCGAATCAATTTGAGAAAGTCTTCACCAGAGAAACAGTGCAAAATTTCCCAAGACTAAGAAGTGAACGTTCAGTTGCTCAAATAACATCAGTCGAATCTATGCCAGATGAGATTTGCAAAGTTTTAAAAGACCTTAAAATAGACTCTAGCCCGGTCATTCCAGCCATATTTTTGAATAAAACAGCAGCCAGTATAAGTGATCCACTCTCATCGGCAATGAACAATCTAATGGAGAATAGTAGAGTGCTATACGAGTGGACCAAGGAAATTATAACGCCCACCTATAAGAAGGAAGACAAACACAACCCTGGCAATTATCGTCCCATAAGTTTAACATGCACTTTATGTAAGTCAATGGAGAGGGTTGTGGCCGATAAAATCAAGGATTTTGTTCTGGAAAATGACGTTATTCTTGCAGGCCAACGTGGATTTCTACCAGGACGATCCACCTCCACAAACCTGCTTTCGTGTTGTTGTTTATCTTGACTTTGAGAAGGCGTTCAATAAGGTTCCAATCCAAAGACTTTTATACAAACTTGACCACCTTGGTGTAAGGGGTAGCTTACTGCGATGGATCTTCAGTTACTTGCAAAACAGAACGTTCACAGTTAGAGCAAATGGGGTGTTATCTGAGCAGCACAAAGCATTAAGTGGGGTGTCCCAGAGCTCTGTCTTGGGCCCTTTGCTCTTCATTATTTACATCAGTGACATAGGAAGTGACCCTCAGTCTGGTATCACGTACTTTGCTTACGATACAAAGTTTTGCTACAATCCAACCCATGGCACTCAGAAACTGAGAGAAGATCTCCGCAGCTTGTTCCATTGGACCAACGAATGGATGCTAAGCCTCAACGAGAGCAAGTGCACTGTTTTGCACATCGGTAGAAATAACCCAAAAATTGAGTATACAATTGGAACATGCGTAGTCACAGAAGTCAACCAACAAAGGGACCTGGAAGTTATTGTTAGCTCTGACTTAAAATAGGAGCCTCAAATTGTATGCATGACTAAATAAGCCAAAACCCTAGTGTACTTAATGAAGAGAGCTTTTAGGGACCACTCTGTGGAAATGATAAAAAGCTGGAATATTCCCATGCTGTGTGGAGCCCCTACTATATAAAAGACATAGATATTATCGAACGAGTCCAAAGGAGAATCACCCAGATACCTCCCAAATTGAGCCACCTTCTATACCGTGAACGCCTTGAAATATTCGGACTAAGTGCATTAAGAGAAAGGCGATAAAGAGGTGATCTCATTGAAACCTTCAAAGTACTAACGGATTATTTCAGCTCAAAAATCGATCTGGCACTATTCCAAATTTCCCATACACGAGAACTACGCTACCACTCAAAGAAACTCAACAAAGAAAGATCTGCTCGGCTTTTGAGAAAAAACTTTTTGAGCAATAGAGTTGTATAAAGATGGAACAGCCTTCAGGAATCTACTTTAAATGCACCAACTGTCAACGCCTTCAAAAAGGCGCTGAATAAGGAAAGGGACAACTTAAGAAATCAACATACCCACTACATGTAACCTTAATCCCTCGTGCCTAAATATCGCCACAGTGTATAAAGATAATCCAACTGAACTCACGCATACAAAGAAAAAAACATTATATAATTGCAATAGACTTATCGGTTTAGACAGCTTTATATTTCTCGCAATAATAATAATACTTAATATTAATAATATTTAAAGCAATGAGAATACAATATAAGGGAAAAGCCAATTATGGCGGTAGGGATATGGAAGCGTCGTGATGTTTCGCTTACAGTGGATGTTGATGAAGCAAGTGGTGCCACTCTACTGAATGGAACCACAAAAATGGCTACAAATAAGGACAACGAGATCTGCGCCAAACCAAACCAAAAAATATCTTTTACCAGAGAAAATATAATCGGACGGCCTTCTTTTTTTAGAGCGGTAAGCTTGCACATGTATGGGCATCAAGATTCTCATGATCAGCTGAGACAAGATACCGTCAAATATATATGAAGAAACAGGAAAAACTTGCAGGTTTATGTTGTGCTGGAAGAAGACAGGTTAAAAAGTGCTAGTGAATATTGCACAAACATGAGTAAGACAACAACATTTGGAACGAGCCTGAAAATACTGGCACTCGCAGAAACACAGAAATCAACATTTATAATACATATACTCCTCCGAATCACAATCAACAACACGAACCATACTCCAACATTTAACAAATTATAAAAAGATCATCCACTTACTATTAATTGGAGATCACCTGGCAGGCCATTTTGAGCTTTTAAAACCTGTCATTGCAAAGGACGATAATGATATTGAAACTGTGGATTTTCTAAGTAAGCATGAACTTGCAGAAAATAATGGTGAGGTTGCAGCTAAATCTGAAACCAGCTTATGTGTTAAACGGAGTGAAAATGCACTGAAACCTAATAAATTTATTATATGTACTTATTACTTTATAACAAAAATAGAAACGGACTTTACTGAATATCGCAAAATATTACATGAGAAATTTACTAAAAAATATCTCGAAGTAAATGTGTCTGAGCAAAGATTGTCTGACCAAAGAAGAGTCACAATCAAAAATAAACTGTTAAACTTAAAATGAGATACTTGCAGAACAAAAAGGTGAAGTGGCCAAAATGATCCAGTGTCAGGAAAATGAATCGGAGCCACCTGATTTTGTATTAAACACAAAAGAAAACGGTTCCTCAGAAGTAAATGAAATTAACATAGAAAGCACAATAGTGGTAGGATCGGTATCGGAGATTCAGAGGCATGATGATGTGTTATTGAATACTCAGGAAATGTTAAATAAGATACTACAGGAAAACTTAACACAAAAACTTCTATAAAAATCTTGAATAAAATCAATATGTACCTCCTGAAAATAGACCAAAACTGCCCAGATTAAGGTGTAATAAACGAATGGTTAGCATAACTGCGTTTTTTAACCTCCAGATTTTACCAAAACTGCTAAGTGGATATAATGATCTGAAAGAAATACAAGCACTTGCCTTAACAATATCGGAATACCTGGGATATAATATCACATGCTATGTAAACTCGAAAACTCCATGCAAACAGGACCGAAGAAGACCATGGCAAATCAGACTCGGAAGAAACATAGAAACCTTGAGAAGGGACATAGGAAGACTTACTCAATATATCAGAACTCCTAAATGCACCAATAGGCTACAAAATAAAGTTCAATACATCCTGCAAATGAATGATCGCAATAAAAGGGAATACTATTACCACACCCGAAGTGCCGATTAGAAGAGGAATCTTACAGGGGGAGTCCCTAAGCCCGATGTGATTTTGTTTGTCTTTAAACCCGTTATCGTATCTCCTGAACAAGGACAAAAAGGAATATCAATTTAATAGGAGCCAGAACGATACTCCAATTTCAAACTTAATCTACATGGAGTACATAACCTGTTCAGTGAATCTGAGGACATGAAAACACTCATTGATCATACTGTCATGTTTAGTAACGATATAAGGATGGAATTGGGCATGGACAAATGCAAAACATTACACATTGCTAGAGGCCAAATATTATCGGAAGAATACCTACCAAATCAATGAATGCGATAGTATTAAGGCAATGGAACCTACTGATTTGTATAAATATCTAGGATACAATCAATCCAGACAGATGGCTCATGATAAATGATAAACTTAGAAGCGAGTACTAGAAAAGAGTGAAGCTGATCTGCAAAACATCTTTACCAGCAAGAAACCTAGTAAAAGCATTGAACACCTATGCTGTACCAGTCCTGATTTACTCTTTGGGGTTATAAAGTGGTGTCGTACTGATATTATTAACTCACAGATGAAAACAAGAACTATACTTACCAAATGTAATTATTATCAGCCAAAATCAGCGATTGAAAGAGTGAAGCTAAGTAGAGACCTGGGGAGACGCGGAATAATCGATTTGGAATAAGCATGGGAAACCCAGATCAAATCTCTTGCCGCGTTCTTCAATAAAAAAGTAGATACTTCTCTTTCACATAAAGCTGTTGTAATGGCGGACAAGAACTGCACCCCATTAAAACTATCGAATTGGACATTAAATTACTTAAATGTGAATTATAAAGAAAAAAAACTAAACAAATGGAAAGCTAAGGAGTTACATGGCAGATTTTATAATGACCTAATGCAACCAGACATTGATAATGGAGCGTCAAATACCTGGTTTAAGAGAGGAAACCTGTTCCCAGAGACGAAAGGATTTATGATGGCAATACAAGGCCAAGTCATAAACACAAAAAATTACGACAAGAATATAGTGAGAAATAATGTTGCATCTGGAAATGACATATACCGGAAATGTAAAAAAGCCTCAGAAACGATACAACATATAACAGATGGCTGCCCAATGTTAGCTCAAACAGACTATTTATTCCGACATAACCAGGTTGCTGCTACCATACACCAACAAATAGTTAAACATCTTAAGCTAACCAATGAAAGATGTCTCTTTCTATAAATATAATCCTCCTCCCATAATTGACAACGAATCTTACAAGCTGTATTTTGACCGCGCAATTGCTAACCGATAAAACGATTATGGCTAATAGACCCGACATTACCCTCTACGATAAAGTAGAGACGAATAGTTATATGATAGATGTTGATCTGAAGAATAATCATAATATTCAGAGAACAATTGCAAAAAAAATCAGTAAATATAGCGACTTGCGAGAAGAAATAAGTCGAATGTGGAAAGCAAAGGCAGTACAAATAATACCGATCCTTATATCCACTAATGGATTAATCCAATGACATCAAAACACAGATAGACGGATCATCCCATTCATAAACTGTTATTTGTTGTGTTGACAAGACCACCCATGGGCCAGGGGAGGTGAGTTGCTCGCGGGGTCGGGGTAGGGAGACATCATTGCTCAAAATGGTGTAAAAAACCCCGCCCACACGTGAATATATCTCGAAATTTAATTGGATGAATAAATAAAATAACAAATTGACAAATAAACTGAAAATATTCGATACGAGCCCTTTATTCTGGGAGTACCAATATCGTATCGGTCGTTTCTTATTTAACGCTAATAAATAATCCCTGTTTGCGATAAAGATAGCTAGCTACTCCAACAAACACCTGCCTGCCATTCAACAAGCCGCTTCTGGGCGGTGTTTTGCTACAATCTGCTGTTGCCAAATTGAGTTCAGAAGTAAAATTGAAAACGTTAATTAGAAAAGGATAAAAATATATTATTTAGGGTTTCAAGACAAAATTTGGCATTCTCAGTGGTGGGGATAGCACAAAGACCCAAAAGAGACAGAGAGATGTTGTCATACGAAAATTTTGTTTATTGTTCGGTCTATCTGTGTTTTGATGTCATTGGATTAATCCCAAAGATCCTACATAAAGGCATTCGATCACTTAAGCTTCCACCCGATTTCTATGTGCAGATGCAGGACGTAATATTGAATACATGCCGAATTGTCAGAAAATTTTTGCAAAATGATGCTTTCGGTCAAGACAGAACAAAGCAATTACTTGCCATTTGGCCGTAGTTGCGGATTGACCAGCACAAAAACTGAGATATTCAAAATAAAAAATAATAATAAAATTTCAACAACTAGCTTGAACACCCAAAATTAGTTGATATTTTGTCACACAAGGCTGCAAAATGTACAGCCCTTACACAAATTAACCAGCTTTTCAGTTTCAAAGAAATTTGTTAACCAAATCCAAAAATATATCTAACCGTCAAGGATTGATAGCTCATATTGACAATGTTTTTATTTCAGGACTCTCCCTTAAGTATACTTTTGTGTCGAATGTTGGATCGGAGGGTTATAATTTTCAATTGGCTTGAAAAGTCTACTATTTCCAGGACATATACATTCTATATTCGTTTGCAAAAAAAGAAGAGTGCAGCATTTGTGTAGAGTTAAAAACCGGGCACACTATCAGCCTTTGTTTAACAAAAAAATATGTAATATCAACTGGGGACTTATGTTAATTTTAAGACTTTTAAATGATTTTGCGCCGTCCATGTAATATAACCTATCAATGTAGATACCTATTTAGTACAATTTTATTCGATCCTTCAATAAAAATTTATATTTTCTGAACGATAAAGCATATCGAGTATAAGTATCAGATCAATGTCCTTTGTCGACTGTCTGGGAAATATTTGCAGACGGAACATGCGCAGAATGCACTAGCGAGATTTATTTGAACAATTCGTGTTGTTTTATGTACTTTGTATTCCAATTTAGGCCAATTCTATCAGTTTTTGAATCCCTTAATAAACGTTAATTGGAACTTTTGTTCTTGACCTTTCTCTCAAAGTAGGAGTTTACCAAAAAATGACGAGAAGTTTTTATTTTTTTTCTTGTACATTTTAGTAGAACTCTGTGCCTTACAACTCCGTTTGGTATGTGGTATGTGCCAAGTAAAAAATATAGAATTTCCCTTAACATGTTTTTTAATAGAGTAACAACAAAACAGAGCTTCAGGAGAACTTACCAAATCAGCACCAGACTCAACACCAAGGTCAGTACCTAGAAAGGAGAAGCTATACTATAAAACATGTAATTGAAAAATAAAAAAAATCTTACTTTCATCAGTATACTGATTTTGACCAAGGACTTGCTGCGTTTGATCCAAAAGACTGTTCAAGTTAGGAGGTGCCTGCATAAATAAATTATTCTCTTGTTGTCTTCTTGTTGGATCATCTTGATTAGCCATCATTCTTGACCCCATCCCATCTTGCTGCCTGCGCATGTTTTCCTCATGCCTTATGCGTTCTTCCTCAGCCCTTCTTTCCCTCATTTCCCATTCTTTCTTCTGACGTTCTTTATCCATTTCACGAATTCTCAATTGCTTTCTCAACAGTTCGGTTTCTTGTTCGTATGAAGCATATTTCATCTGGGCAAATAATTTATCCTTTTCTAATTGCATTTCTTGCTTCAATGCCTCCTCTTTTCTTTGGAACATTTCATACAAGCATTTCCATTTTTGGCCATATTCAAATTCAAAACTATCAGGAGAAGCAAATCTTGGAGGTTGCTCACGTTCTGACATGTAATCTCCAGTTTTTCTAATAATGCTCTTCTCAGAATAACCATCAATATCATCCACAGCATCATACAATTCTACAATAACTGGTTGAAGAGATGACGTTAGGAAGTAACACCCTTCTGTACATTTTTTTACAGCAATTGTAGCTGAAAATTTTTTTGCAAAATGTACGTAACCTTCACCTGTAGGTTTGCCACGTTCATCAGTACAAACGTGAACTTTTTCTATTTCACCAAATGGACTAAACGCAAAATGAAGTAACTCGTTAGTTACAAAATTTGATAAGTTCTTTACTTTTATACTAGCAGTGATAGGAGCAAATCTTATTTTTAAAGTTTTTCCTTTCAGCAGTATTCCATCCAGTTCTCGTCTGGCCTTCTCAGCATTTGCAAGAAAATCAATCTTAATAAAGCCAAAGTTTTTCTCTTTGTTCATGAAAGCTTCTGAAGTCTCCCCATAAGGTTTGAAGAGTTCAGCTAGGTCTTCTTCAGTCACATCATTTCCAATATTACCAAGATACAATCTACTTCTTCCATTGAATTGCTTCTCGCTTAGATCGATTGGTGGCAAATCGAAAGTAGGGCCCTGGAAACGTCTAATTCTATCAGCTATTTGGTCAGTTGGACCTCTAGACCTGAAACCTTGCTCACGATCTCCATCTCCACTTTGTTCCTCTGAAGGTCCAGATCCTCTGCCGCCGTAATCACCGCGATCACCGCCACCACCTCTTCCTCCTCTGAATCCACCACGTCCACGCCCACGACCTCCTCTAAAGTCCTGATTTTGTTCATTGCGGTCACCTTGTCCACCTCTCTAAAAAAAACAAAAAACACATTCCTAACAATATAATAACAAAAATATGATACATTTAATGGCACAGAGTTACCATTTTACGTAACGAGTGAGAAAACTCTGTGTATGTTAACTTTTCTACCCATTCTCATTTGTAATGAATGAGTGGGGAGGCTACGGATCCTCACGGAGATGAAGATAATAGGAAACACTAGCTCTGTTCTAGAACAGTAATTTCCAGTTGCCCACCTATTTTTCAACTTGTTTTTCAATAAGTTGAACATATGTCCTAATTGACAAATGAATAATTGATCGACTAGAAATTACCGTTCTAGAACGGTTCTCATGTCGGTTGGAACAGAGCTACTGTATAACTGAGTTCTATCTCGTTTTCTCCCAGGCTACATCATATAGAACTCTACCAAAGACGTGGTGAGATAATCAAGATGGCAAATTATTCAAAGTATTCTAAAGTATAGATAAGAAATAGATTACCAAATGTCGATATGTAATACATTATTTCCTATGTTTTTCAGATTCTAGAATACAAAACTGAGGTCTAAAAACGAATTTGATAAAAGAAGAAACATCCCTGAGAAATAGGATGCAATTATGTTTTATAACAATTTCCCCTTTCACCCACTTTCCCTTATGAGATATGAGATGAGGCCATGCAGAATGTGTGACTTCTCTAATGAAGTTAACATTCAATAGTGCCTGTAGTAGCTATACATATAGTCAACTAAAGTGATTTTTCTGAGCGATGCGATTCAATACATTTTCTTGGTTTATTATTAATCACCACTGATTCATGCCTTCAGAAGTTGTAATGCAATATTCTACTTTCATAATTTTGGAAAAAATTACATTTTTAATCATTTTGAGAAGACAGTACGATTAAAGGCTTCCAATATTACTCATGAAGTACATTTACAATCTTACTAAAAAAATACCTAAATTATTATTTGATTTATTCTTCGAAGCTGTAGTGAAACGTGAAACACATAATTTGGCAAACCTATCTCAGACCAAAGATGCAGCCAAATTTCTACAGGGATCTGCAGGTGGCAAAAATGGTTTCCAATAACATTTTATCTACATAATGGAGTTGGACACCTCAAAAAAATGTGTTAATTTAAAACCCAGAAAAATCTGCACTTGAAACACTTGGTTTTTGTGATACTTCATCCTTTTAATCAGAATCAGAATACATATTATATATCAATACCTAATATAAAAAATCATATATTCACGAATCGCGAAAATCGAATTCACAACATCTTTACATATTCGTTTTCGCCGTTTCACATGCCTAAATAATGAAAAAGCAGAAGGGAAAAATTTAACACAGTCAATCACTTGAAGTGGTAGCCAACATTATTCACATTGGTGATGAAGAAGCAGCCAATAATGTTTTTAACTTACCATTAAAATGTAAAAAGGAGAAAGGTATTCTTTATGTAATGCAATTTTAACCTTTAATAAGAATTTCCCCTTGCAAAAAATTAAAAAGAAAAAGTTCAAAAAACCCTGGGTAACAAAAGGTTTGAAAATATCATCAAAGAATTTAAGATGTCTTTATAATCAATCAATCAATCAATCAATAATGTACTTTATTATCAAGAATAGAATTCTGTCGACAAAGCAGGCTAAAGCTAACATTACCATTAACATTATAACTTAACATATATAAAATATCTTCAATAAGTTTACTAAATACTACAAAAGACTAAAAATTTTGGGTAGATGAAAGTGTAAACAATTTTCATAAAAGATTTAAAGGTACATAGCATAGTCAAGTTCACATAACAGTACGAACAGGGAAAAGTACGAACAGGCAAAAAAAAAAGCATAAGAACAATAAAAACAATGACAACAATGCGGATGTGACAATATTTCCTAAATAATTTAATATATTGTACAATCTTATAATGATATGAGGTCATTAGAAAATTTATAAGCTAACATAAAAAATTAAAAAAAAAAGACATGGTCAATTTGAAACACAGTATGGACAAAATAAAATTTAAAGCATATGATTATCATTGTAAAATTCAAACTATAGTAAGCTTTGGTAATTAGTATATTTTTTAACTTTTTTCTAAAAAATTTCAAAGTCACTGATTGTCTGATTTCGAGTGGTATGTGGTTAAAAATTTTTCGACCCTCGTATATAAAAGACTTTTGTATCAAGGTGCTCTTAGGTATAGGCAGAGGCAAGTCAAAGTTTTGCCTGGTTACTTGTTGAGATCTTGCAGCACGTATATTTTTACAATTTTTAAAAACCAAACTAGACGTCTCAAGAATAAACAATGATGTTAATGTCAAAATTTTCAGTTTTATGAAGTGTGGTTTGCAAGGTTCTCTTTGATGGATATTAACAATAAATCGGACTGCCTTTTTTTGAAGAATGAAGAGATCTTTGAGCAAATATTGACTGGCCGCGCCCCAAAATGGGATGCCATAACTCAAGTGAGACTCGAATAGAGAAAAGTATGCAGTCCTTGCCACATCCGCTTCCAACTCAGCCCTTATACACCTGATGGCAAAACACCCAGATGACAGCCTTTTACCCAATCCAAAAATGTGTTCCTCAAACTTCAATTGGCTATCAATTTGAACACCCAAAAATTTTGTCATGATTTGACTCTGCAAAACCTGATCTCCCAGATTTACGCCCAGAATGTTACATTTAAAGCCCAATATATTAGTTTTAGAGATGTTAAGACACAGGCGGTTTGCGTTGCCCCACCCTTTAATATTCGAGAGGTCCTGAGCCATGGTCGCTTTCAAAATGTCAATGTCTCTGTGGTGCCACAGGATTGAGGTGTCATCTGCGAATAGAGTAAATATACCTGATATATTTAACTGAACAAGGTCATTAATATAAATTAAAAAGAGCAGATGTCCCAGCACTGAACCCTGCGGGACACCGCACTTGACACTGAGGGAAGAAGAACTTGAACCCGAGCTCACCACTGATTGATCTCGAAAGCTCAAATATGAATTGAACCATGACAATAGTTGCCCTCTAAAACCATACCGTTCCAACTTTCTCAGCAGTATCCCGTGATCCACACAGTCAAAATCTTCAAAAATATTTTCCATCTGAATTTATAACAAACTATCTTAATAAGTACAAGAGAATGTATAAGCAAGTCCATTAAACTAGCAAAAAGGGACTACTATAAACATATGCTAAGTCGCTCAGGAAACAAGGCTAAAAAAGGGTGGACTATCGTGAGTGAATTAACAGGGAAATATAATTTGAACAGTAAACAAATTACCATAGATTCAAATATACTCAATGCATATTATTGTAAAGTAGCTAGAGAAATAATGTCTAATTTAAAACCACAAATTAACCCTCTATCTTTTTTACAAAATGTAAATATCATAGAGTTTTTTCTTATGACATACTGATCTACCAGAACTTAAACATGTTATTAAAAATATACAAAATAAAACCTCCACTGGAATAGATAATATATCAATTAAAATATTTGAGAATTTGCCAGATAATGCACTAAACGTTTTAGTAAATGCTATAAATAATTCATTTGACACTGGTGTATTCCCGCAATGTTTAAAAATAGGTTTAATTACGCCAATATTTAAGGGTGGGGACTTGGAAGACCCCTCTTGTTATCGACCCATCTCTCTCCTCCCTACTCTCTCTAAAATAATGGAAAAAGTGGTCAAGGATAGAATGATGTCATTCATAAACAAACATAACATTTTAAGGGAGTGCCAATTTGGATTTCATGATTTCAAACAGCAAAAAGCACTAATGACAGGCTATTTAATTTTTTACAGAAACTTTATTTAAATCTCAATGATGGAATGGTGGCTTCGGCAGTTCTGCGACTTGTCAAAAGCATTTGACTGCGTGAGGCGTGAAATACTGTTGAAAAAACTAGAACATTATAGATTAAGAGGTTTTGCGTTGACATGGATATCTTCGTACTTATCAGAGCGACAACAGCTTGTTAAATGCCAGAACAAAAAGTCAATCATTCAAACCAACTCTTATGGCGCACCACAGGGATCCATGTTGGGACCACTCCTTTTTTTATTGTATATAAATGACATAGTAAATACAAACATAAGTGGTCATTTCACACTCTTTGCTGATGATACAACAATTCTGTGGGTGGATCAGTACTCTAATCAGCTAGAAGCACGAATACAAGCTGATATATGCAAAATAAAACAATGGTGTGATGCCAATTATTTATCTTTTAACATCAAAAAAACAATGCAGAGGAATTACCTACAAACTGTTGGAAACATATTCAAAGAACAGAGAAGAATACACAGTTGTAAATGATGTATCTAGTAGTAAGGCGGGTGTACAAGTTGGTGTAGCTCAGGGATCAGTTTTGGGACCCTTACAATACTTACTTTATGTTCATAGTATGAAATTTATCGGACTTCAAGCAAAGTATTTCATGTTTGCTGACGATACAGTTTTAGTATATACGAGTGAAGATGGTCAAATGGTTGAAGACATTGTAAATAAGGATCTTAAAATGTACTATGATTGGCTATGCTATAACAAATTAAGCATAAACATTGAAAAGACCGTGTACTTGACAGTCACCCAAAAAGGAAAAAAGACTAATCAACATCATATTAAAATAAATGATACTACTTTAAAAAAAGTGAATGAATATAAATATTTGGGTCTTCTAATTACAAGTAAGCTGTCATGGGAAACTCACATTGAAAGTGTGATTCAAAAAGTAGTACCGTTCATAGGGGCAGTGAAAAGGTGTGCGCATCAACTAAATAAAAACACAAGGTATTTACTATACAACAGTTTTATTGAACCACATCTCAGGTACTTAGTTCCGTGTTGGGGAAATGCCAGTGAATACCTATTGGATAAATTACAAAGAACACAAAACAAAGCCATAAAAGCAATATTTTCATTAGTGTGGTCAACCCCCAGTGAACACTTACATCAGCAATTTCCATTTTTGAATATCAGACAATTGAAAGGCCTAGAACAAAGCAAGCTAATACACTGTATGAAAAAAAGTTTGATCAAAACAAATGTAACTCTGAAGGAAACAAATGCATACCATACGTATAACACAAGGACAAATACAGACATTAGGAATAACCATGTTAGGACAAAAAAGGGACAGGACTCTCCAGTTTACCGAAGTGTACAGACATTCAACAAAATACCCAAAGTAAATTTTATAGGAAGTCAATTGAAAGTGAGCCGTAACCTGAAAAAGTATATTAAAGATAGTTTTTGAAGGAATATATTCCTGTAATTTATTATTATCTACTTAATATGTAGTAATATGTACTTATAATAACTGTTAGTTTTTGAAGGCCTTGGTGCCAGTATGTATTGTACTGTTTTAAGGTCTGAAATAAATAAATTGAAAAAAAAAAAAAAAAAAATAATAACTTTCAAGGGCAATATAGCGGACATAACTTTGGGCAATGATGACATAGAAGAAACTCAAATCTCAAAGTTTTTGGGTATATATATATATAGACTCAAAATTGAGATTTTCTGAGTACATAACATCGCTAAACAGAAAATTATCATTGGCTTGCTACGCCATAAGGATAGTTAGCAATAATCTAAGTCATACTGTATCGAGATCTGTGTATTTTGCGCTTGTTCAGTCAAACTTGACTTATGGAGTAGCATTCTGGGGTCATGCCCCAAAACACCTTATTCAATAAGTGTTTATACTTCAGAAAAGAGCCTTGAGATATTTCTGCAAATTCGGGCCCAGAGACCACTGTAAGCCATTCTTTGTGAAAGAAAAAATATTAACACTCACTTGCCTCTTCATTGTAGAAGTTGCAAGTTTGGTACATAAAAAATATAAAAATGTTCAAGATAGCTCTAAATATGAGACTCGCAGAAATAATGAACTGCGATTACCTATCTCAAAGAGCTCATTGATTAGGAACTCACTCATATATGAGGGATTAAAAGTTTATAATCACTTACCACAAGATTTCAGAAATATCAACAATGATAAAATATACTCACGATCTGTAAAACGTATACTACAATCTAAAGCATACTACACCTTGGAAGAGTTTTACAGTGAAACATTTTAAGCTGCATGTAATATTCACTATGTGGCTGGCTACAACTTTTTTATTTTTTGTTAACGATTTTGTATTATGTCTGTTTTACACTGTTTAGCTTTTATAAAGACATTTTTATTGTATCTGTAAATTTTTAATATATTTGTATAGATGTAAGTTTTAGTTCAATCTCGAGTTATGTATACACATGTGTATGTTTGTCTACTTTATTTGATCTCGATTTGATATATTATTTTCTTTTTATATATACAGCTTTGTTCTTGAGAACTGATGATGTTCTTCGTAACAATAAAGCATATTTTGATTTGATTTGATTTTGATTTGTTTGTGTAGGAATTTCTATATATTTTAACTATTCTTATAGTATTTTAACCTAGTACCTACTTACTGAAATTATAAGAAATTTATTATTTATTATCATTTTTTATATTATTTTAATATGTTTTTAATAATATTGTTTCTGCTTTCTTTTATGTACTTGTAATATTAACATTTTAGTCTATTTTATGTCGTTATGTTTCGATCTCTTGAAGTGATAGGTAGGTACCGAGTTTATGACTGGAAAAATAATTGAACTTGTAATGTATTTTTCGAGGTATTTTTATTTATTGTACGAAACAAATTCACTGCTTCCTGCTTCCTGGACTATAAGAAATATTAAGTCGAGCAAAGTTTCTAGTCTTATATTATGTGAAAACGGTTGTGCCCATACGCCTCTTCTGAATTTGTTAATTTAAGGATTAAATTTGACAGAGAATTTAACAGTGAAATAGTGAAATAATTTTGAAAAAATTATTTTATAATTTTATTGTGCATTAGGTATCAGTTTCTAATTTGAATAAGGTTAATCCAAGGGCCAATCTTAATAAGGACAAGGGATGTGGGTAGGCCTTTTCTCGTGTTTGGGAAGTTACCTAGGACCCTTATTTGTTTTTTTTTTTTTACTTGATCGGAAGTCTAGTAAATCCGCCAGGATTATCTGTGAATTTTATGCTTTTTTTAGCCTCTAATTTTCTTCTATGGCATTTTCACTGTTTCACCGTTTTAGAATTTTAGACAAAAAAAAATCAATTTCATGGGCAGGTTTTGGCTTTTTGCTTGGCTTTTTGGAATACATATTTCTTTATTAATATATACACAGTCAACAAATCATTTAACATTTAGGCTGGAGTTACTCAATTCCTTAATTCTCAATATTTGTCCCTAATTCTTAAAAAGTTCAATTTATTTAACATTGGTGTTTTTGAAGATAAGAATTCAAGAACAAAAATTAAGAATTTAGGACTTGGGTGGCTTTAATCAGTGTTCATAAAAATATAAACACAGGTACGGATGCAGAATTCTTGAGTTAGAAATTATTTTGGATGCTATGCATCATCCATTGATTTTTCAATAAACTTGGAATTCAAAAGAAGGAAAATTCTTATTTCTGATGTTATGTTATTTTGGGAGGTAAAAACTAGCGATAATTATATGGTTTCTCAATTCTCACATAAATTCCAAGTGGCCGAAATAGAAGTACAAGTGCACACCATTGTAGGGTAGTTTGATTTTCAACAGAGGAAGAAATGATTCACTTTCTACTTACATTATAATTGAAATTACCGCCACCGCGTCCTCCTTGAAATTGGCCCCCACGAGATGCTCCTCCACGAAATGGCCGTCCTCCTTGGTTCCCTCTGAATGATCCCCTGTAGTCCACAGGATTCGATAAGTTTTCGGATTCCCCTTTCTCATTATTCCCGTTGCTTTCAGATGGTTCAGTATTAGTACTGGGAGGTTCGATTACTAGTTTAGCTCCCTCTAGTTCTTGTGCCATTTTTGTAAATCTGAAATTTCGAGGATTTTGATTTTTGAATTCCACTAAAATAACAAAATAACAAAATGCAAAATCCGGCCGGCGCGGCGTGGAAAGAGAGAGAAGTGAACCAGATAAAAAGAAGAAGCAGAAGCGAAACTGAAAGAGTCTACGACCTACGTCCCAATCAAGGATAATAGACACTACTACACAGGATTGCTTATCGGCCTCGCTTTTGGAAAATGGAAATCGCGGCCCAAGGTTCATCGCGGTCATATTGTTTAGCACCACTGACGAGGTCATCAACTACGTCGTCAGCTGCTTGCGGCAGCGGTAGTGATTTAGAATATACATTTATGATGAAAAATATTATTTAATATTGATTAACATGGTCGAAAATTTGATAATAGGCAAAGAGGAAGATGCAAACGAGATCTAAAAAAGCGTTGTTTAGAATGTTAAATGTTAATTTATGCCAGGGACCCGGACGGGTCCGTTCCGGTTCCGGTCCACAGCGTCATGACGAATATCGGTTCCGTTACGGTTTCGGTTCTAAGAGAAATATTTCGATTCGGAACGGACCAATAATTTCGGTTTTAACGGTTCATACCGGTATAGTTTTTCACAAATATCTAATAGCCATTTGCACTGACTATTTCAAGAAGCATCCCTTAAAACGGTCATTACAGAAAAATTTATGTTTCTATAATTTGTGGTTTTTTTTTTTGGATTTCTCTGCCTATCTGCAACAACTTCAATAATCATAATAATTACTATTAATAAAATAAATTTTTGTGTTTTCGATCAGTGATGGGTGATGACGTAACAGCGTGTCGTTTCTCGCCTTGACGTAGTATAAGTGCTTGCACCAGTTGCACCACGGATTAGGAGGTGTTTTCTCGCGTCTCAAAGTTTTCAAACATTTTCCAAAACTGGTTTAAATCAGTTTCACAATGATGTCATAATTTCTCGGCACGAGGAAATGGTTTTAAAGCGTGGATTGGAATGTATTTCGAAACGGTTTAGAACCATAGTACATTATTTAATATTGTAGTGTGTAACATCCTGTAGTTACAATAGGGTTTCACACCCTATATATTATGTAGCAATTGTATGTTTAACATTCAAATATAAATATGTATAATTAATAATAGGCAATATTGCTTATGATGAGTTTTAAAGATAACTAGGTTAATTAGAATAAACATGCCGTCAAAAGAGGGCATATAGTTTTTGACGATTGTATTAGTGTCTTCGAACTAATAAACATAAGTTGGGTTTTGTAAAAACCTTGTGTTTGATTTAAAAGTATCAAGATAACCCTGCAAGGTTATCACATGGCGATCCTGCCAATCGAATTATGGTTCTAAATGGTATGGTTGAAGGGAAAAACTAAGTAGAGCTGGGAAGTATTGGGAATTTGGAAACCGAAAAGGCTAGAAAGCACAAAAACCATGGGAAATCAAAAAACTAAAGAGGTCAAGGAAGAAGTCATAATAGCCCAGGCAGGCAATAGTGGAGGAATAACGGATACTACAAGTCAAGCGGTAACATCAACTAGGGACGTTTTGGTTTTGATTGTTTTAGGTCTGGCAATTATTGGTATAGGCATACTTTGCTATATAAGATGTAAGAAACAACTGGAGAGGAAAATTAGACGGGAAATATCTAAAAGCACCGATCGAGTTTAAATTGGATATATGGAAATGGATATGATATGGTGGATGAAAAAGAATTTCGTTACTTATTAGAGGAATTAAAAGTATTTTATAGAAATCTAAACAAAGACTCCCAGGAAAGAAGAGAAAATGTTAGTGTAATTAGACGTAAGTTAGAAAAAATTAATAAATTAGAATTAGAATTTAAAAATTTGAGAGATAACTTCAATACTAGTAGGCAAGAGGCTGATACTATAAAACAAGTCAAGCTACAGGTAGATGGCATAGTAAAATATTTTGAGACGATAAAATCGATTTTAGATGATAGGTTAGAAAGTTCAGAGCAGATAATAAATATAGAAACCATGGCGGGAAAGTTTGATTTACGCACCGCTGCTAGTTTATTACCTGCTATGGATGGTTCTGAAAATGGGACGAAGTTGCTTGTTGATGCCATTGAGTTGTATGACTCGTTGTTAGACAATGATGGTAAAAAACTACTTACTCTCTACGTTTTGAAAACTCGTCTAACGCAGAGCGCAAAAATTAGATTGAAAGACGAGTACGACAATAACCAATTACTTATTGCTGATATTAAAACACACTTTTTGACAAAAAGGTCTGCTACAACTTTATCTTCAAAGCTGAGCAATGCTAGGCAAGGCTCTAAATCCCTGGACGAGTTTGGTAAAAACGTAGAAGAGTTGTTAGTTGATTTAACCATAACACAGGCTGATGGTAACGCCAATGCAGTCGGAATTTTGAGAAATGTTAATGAAAAAATTGCCATTAACACTTTTGCCAACGGCCTGCAAAATCCCGAATTGCGAACTATTATCAAGGCTAGAAATTACTCGACATTAAATGAGGCAATACGCGGCGCCAAAGATGAGGAGCTACCAAATCAAAATAAAATTTTTCATTTTCGCGGGCACGGCCGTGGAAATTACAGGGGCACTTTTAACAATTACAATAGAAACCCTCACAACCGTGGCTCCTTCAACAACCATTTTAATAAAAATTCCTACAACAGCCGGGGATCATCTACTAAAAATCCAAATAGGGGAGGTTTTAATTCGAGACAATCTTCTCAACGAAACAATGGCATTAATAGGGGAAGTTTCAATAGATACAATTCTCAAAATAGGAATAACAACAATAATTATTCCCAACGAACTTTTTACATGCAAAATGACCAAGAAAACACTGATATCGTAAATAGTACTTCAACATTTTTTCGTGGCCCATCAGGAACAAATTAGTAATGATTCTGCAATCATATTAAATTTAAATGGCTTAAATTACGTTAAATTTACTTATAACGATGAACAATTATTTTTCTTACTAGATTCTGGGGCGTCAGTCAGCGTCATTTTCAAAAAATTTATTTCAACACATGAAATTGTTGATTTTTCAAACCGGGTCAAAATAAATGGGATTTCAGGGTCAACAATTTCACAAGGTTCAGCAAATATTACATTGAAATTTAATAATGCAGATATAGTGCACAAGTTTTTGCTGATGGATGCGTTTGAGAACGGCATTCACGGGGTCATTGGGGCAGATTTTTTTTATAAATTCCAGGCAATTATCGATTATGAAAAATTTATATTTTCTTTTTTTGTGAACGATACTCAGATTTCTCTACCTATAGAATGCAAGTACGATTTTTACACAACGATACCAGCTCGCTGTGAGGTAATCAAATATTGCTGGGTAGACGAGAACGAGGAATGTTTAGTTTTACCTGATGAACTTTGTGAAGGCGTTTTTGTCGCTGCAATTATGACCAAACCAATTAGTAATATGATACCTGTTAGAATACTTAATACTCGTAGTGAAGATGTGAAGCTAAAAAATTTCAAACCAAAAACCAGTAACTTAAATAATTTTGAAACCTGCGAATTCAGTGATAATGCGATATCGGTTGATAGGTTAGATAAAATTTTCAAATTAATAAATACAAATCATTTGAACCAAGAAGAAAATTATTCATTACAGAGAGTTTGTGCAAAATACGCAGATGTTTTTCACTTAGAGGAAGATCCGCTTACTGTAACAAATATTTATGAACAAGCTATAACACTCCAAAAATCAGCCACACCGGCATATATAAAGCCTTACCGTTTACCACATGCGCAAAAGGCAGAAGTTCATAAACAGGTTCAAAAAATGCTTCAAGACGGTATTATCGAGGAAGCCAGATCAGAATGGTCAGCACCATTACTAATCGTTCCGAAAAAGGCTGATAGTAATGGCAATAAAAAGTGGCGTGTAGTTATCGACTACAGGCAGCTAAATAAGAGGATCGAGGACGATAAATTCCCTCTACCCTGTATAACTGATATTTTGGACTCTCTCTCTGGGGCGGTTTATTTTTCTCACCTTGATTTGTCTCAATCGTACTACCAAATAGGGCTAGAAGCAAAGAGCCGACATTGTACAGCATTCACGACAGATCGAGGGCAGTACCAAATGACTAGGCTGCCAATGGGATTGAAAATTAGTCCTAGTTCTTTCTCCAGAGCGATGACGATTGCTATGACTGGATTGAACTATGACAGTTGTTTTATTTATTTAGACGATCTTATAGTGTTTGGAAATAATCTCATTATTCATAACAAAAATCTCACAAAAGTTCTACAAAGACTTAAAGACGTAAACTTAAAATTAAACCCTAGTAAATGCAATTTCTTAAGAAAAGAAATTCTATATCTGGGACATATTATTGCATCTGAAGGTGTCTCGCCTGATCCTGAAAAAACAAAAGTAATTCAAAATTATCCAATTCCTAAAGATGCAAACGAAACTAAAAGATTTGTCGCATTTGCAAATTACTATAGAAAATACATTCCAAACTTTGCCAATATTGCGGCACCACTAAATAACCTGTCCCGAAAAAACGTCAATTTTAATTGGACTACTGAATGTCAAAATTCCTTTATCCAATTAAAAGATGCATTGATTCACCCACCAATCTTACAATATCCGGATTTTTCTCCAGATAATGATTTCATATTAAGGACAGACGCATCAGGTTATGCTTTAGGCGCTGTTTTATCTAATGGAAATGATAAGCCAGTGGCATATGCAAGTAGGTCTCTAAACGTAGCTGAAAAAAGATACTCAACAATAGAGAAGGAGCTAACAGCAATTGTTTTTGCTGTAAAGCACTTCAGCCCGTATCTGTTTGGACGAAAATTTTTAATTCTTACTGACCATCGACCACTTGTATATCTTTTTGGCATGTCTAATCCTTCTAGCAGATTAACAAAGTTTCGTTTGACTCTTGAAGAGTATGATTTTACAATTCAGTATGTGAAGGGTAGAGATAATGTAACAGCAGACGCATTATCTCGCATAGAAATAACATCCGATCAGCTTAAGGCAATGAGAGACAACGTGGATGAAACAATATACGTCCAGACGAGAGCACA